GGTAAGACACTTCTTATGTTTGTCTCCTCAACAGGTAAGACACTTCTGATATTTGCGTCCTCAACAGGTAAGACACTTCTGATGTTTGTCTCCTCAACAGGTAAGACACTTCTGATGTTGTCTCTGGTTCAGGAGTGGATGGACTTGAGGACTGAGACATTTGTAGCTCAGGTCTAGGAGACACGTTATGATCATGGTGGTGCTAACCGTTAGCTCCTCAGTACTGTCGGACAGAAACTCTCCAAGCTGACGTCGCTAAAGAAGCTACACATGCACAACAGGTAAGATATTGATTATTTATAACTTTACCACAGAAGTTCATGCGGTCTGAACTTGTCCTTTAAACCGCGAGACGACGGCGAGTCAGTCTTAACATCAGCTGGATGAAGATGAAGAGTGAGACGCGTCACCTGGACGTGAGACAGAGTCCTTCTGTCCATCCAGTCGCGGGTCAGACGGTGGACGTGCTGCTTCCCGGACAGAGTCAGGTAGTCGTAGCGACCGTTGGGGACGTACGCTGTGAGGACGGGAACAAACATCCACCTGAGTTCAGTTTCATGAGCCTGCTTCTGAAGAAAAACACGGTTAATTAAAAAAACTAAAATAAAAACAATTCAACCATCAACAGACAGTTCTGATCAGTTTTTAATCGCCCGTCAGATACTGACTTCATGTTTGTTTGCCTGTTAGCAAAACTTCCCCTGACCAAGTTTGATACAAGCAGGAAACAGGAAGTGGATTAAGACGAAGAGATGCGGACCCAGTGAGAGCGGCGCTCCTCTCAGAATCCTCCACAGCTCCAACCTGCCGCTCCTCACCGTCGCCCCGTTGGGTCCGGACACAGAACTGCAGCCGGCTCTGTCCTCGCTCACAAACTGATCCTGGGTCAGGTCTGAGCAGAGACACTTCAGCAGGTCCAGGAAGAGCGAGATCTGAGGACGAAGGTGCAGGTCTTTGTTCAAACACCTGACAACGATGATTTTATGTGACGTTCTGACCCGTTTGTTTGTTCTCTTGGTTCTGAAATCACAAAGTGAAATCTGAGAGAGGAAGGCAGGTACCTGGAGGGGTGGAGCTCCAGAGTCCAAACCCAGGTAGGTGCAGCCATCCAGAGGAGGGCTGACGTGAGTCTGCAGCAGTTTCTCTGAAACGGTCCTGCAGAAGAAGACCGGACCCGAAACCTGCAGAACAAAACATGCGACACAAAAACGGTTCAGCTTCAGGTATTTTTGATCGGTGCAGATTTTAGCTGTCTATCAAGCAAAAGATGCTTTTACCAGCGGGACTTTCCCATCATGCATCACGGCTCGTTGGATCTGCTCCCTGGTTCCCCTGTAGATGATGTCTCGGACATGACCCTGGAAACGTGAGCAGAACAAAGTCACGGCAGCCTGAGAGGACGAGGACACACACACACACACACACAGTGGACATGAGGGGGTGGCACCTGAGGGTCGGTCAGGTAGACTCCGTGATCGACTGCGAACGAGACGTCACCTGGTACCGCCAAAACCCGAACTCCTGAGAATCCGTCCCAGGACAGAACTGACAAACACACACACATATGTTGGCTGAGGAAACCAGACCGGAATCATTTGGATCAAAACCACAGAGAACAGAACAGATGGATGCTCAAACTAAAAGTTAAAACTGGACTCTTTAGATTTCAGAGGCAGATTTCCAGGAGCCAGTCTGAGCCAGGCCACCTTAGGCCAAAGGTCGATGATTGATGTGATCATGTCGTCGGACCTGCCGGCCTTGTCTTGGACACTCGGGTGAGGAGAGAGACAGCTGTCAACTGATACCACCTGGTGGATCCAATGGTGGGGAAGGTTTTCCAGGCACGTCCCACTGGTTGGAGGTCCTAGAGAAGACCCAGAAGTCGCTGGAGGGATTTTGTATCTTCTCTGGCCTGGAAACACCTCAGGACCCAGAACGAGCTGGAAAATGTTGTTGGGGAGAGGGAGGTCTAGGTTTCTCTCCTGGACCTGTTGTCTCTCTGCAACCCAACTATAGATAAGCTACCGAAGATGGAGCTTTCCAGGAGGACAGAGGAGACAAGGACAGTCCTGTCCCGAGACTTTCAGATTCTGTTTATATACTGGAGATCAGGTCTCGACAGGTGTTTGGAGTCTATAGAGATAAGCCCCACCCCCTTCCTTCTGGTGGCCCAAATGGTAAATTGTTATAATAAAATGGTTCAAACCCAGTTCAGCTGAAGTTGTGGGAATCCCTTGGTCTGAATGAAACGTTTCACTCGAATCTGGATCAGAACATTGTGGTGTGAAAGGAAAAAGCTGGTTCTGTTAGAACCGCTGGAACACTAACCAAAATCAGGAGGAATGCTGAGGATCATGTCGGTGCTGCAGACCCAAACTCCAGGAGGAGAACCGGGACAGATCTGAAAAACCCAGCAGAGATCTGTGACCTAACTGGTTCAATGCTGAGTCAGCGTTCACAAACAAACCGCTGGGTCAGTGTTCACAATAAAATGTTGAGTCACCGTTCACAAGCAAATCACTGAGTCAGTGTTAATAATAATAATAATAATAATGAATTTAATTTGTAACGCACTTTTCATTAACAAAAATCTCAAAGTGCTAGTGTTCAAAACAATGCCGTCAGCATTCACAATAAAAGGCTGAGTCAACATTCACAGAACAAAATGCTGAATCAGCGTTGACAGAACAAAATGCTGAGTCAGCACTCATATTTCCCCCCCTCCCATTTATGGTCTTTTTCAATTACTGTATTTTTGCACTTAATCTTTTGTAGACTTTGAGCTGTTTTAGCTGTTCTTCTGTCAAAACGTTCGGCTCGTTCAGCAGATGGTTGCTGTGACTTTAGATATTTGTAACTTTAATACTTTTAAAAACACTTAATTGACTAAAAAATTCCCCTTTAAATCTTCAGCTTCTTTAAAAACTTTGAAATCTGCTTCAGCTTTTGACTCTTTAAACTACTTTTATTTTTACAATATAGTGTGTTCCATTTTATTTATGCTTTTGCTAAAATTAGCTTTTGGCTACTGTTCTGGTATGTGTTAGCTTTTAGCTGCTGTTCTGCTATGTGTTAGATTATAGTAACTGTACTACTATGTCTTAGCTTATAACTACTGTTCTGCTATGTGTTAGATTATAGTAACTGTACTACTATGTCTTAGCTTATAACTACTGTTCTGCTATGTGTTAGCTTATAGCTACTGATTTGCTATGTGAGAGCTTTTAGCTACTGTTCTGCTGTCTTAACTTTTAGCTTATGTTGTGCTCTTTAGCAGCAGTTCCTCAGCATCACTGTGGATTTCATAGAAAAATAACATTTTTCTCTTTACTTCATGCAACAGTTTAGTTTTGGTCTCTCAGTCCAGACCTGGGTACTGAGCCGGTCCAGAAGCAGGTCCAGAACACAGACCGGAGCCTGGACTTTCTGCTCGGACCTCTCTTCAGGCAGCCAGCAGAACGCTCGGCTGCAGGAGCTCCAGGGAAAATCTCTACCCTGAGGGAGGAACGAACATCGGTCATCTCCAGAAAGCCTGATAAAACATGATGGACCGGAACCAGAACTCACCGTGTGGAGGATGAGGATGTGAGCTTCATCCAGGACATCAGCTGTCACCACCTGGAAACAGAGGAGGAAATCAAACAACGAGCAGCAGCTTTGAGCAGTATGTCATGTGACAGGAAGCTGTGACCCACTGTGTGTCCGGCTCGGCTGCTCAGGTGCTCAGCTGCCACCAGCAGGGCGTTCAGCGTGGCCCCCCCGCTGCCCAGGGGCTCCTGACGGTCCGGCACTGTCAACAGCAGCACCCCCCGAGGGAGAAGACCTCGCTGCTGCCGCAACTCCAGCTCTGAAACACAGAAGGTGAAATATGGAGGACCCACTGACCCTCAGATAAAGTGTCCCAGTAATCCAGCTGAGTGGTAACATGGATTACTGTCTCAAAGTGTCTTTTAGGAATGATGGGTTTTAACTGGGCTGTCTCAAATGATAAAAACTTTAACAACTGACCTAATCTGGCAGTCTAATTTAAATCCAGGATCCAGTTCCACACTTAAATTCCTGTCAGTTTGCTAAATAGATCTACAGTGGAGATAAAACTCAAGTTGACAAAACTGGTGTAATGTGCTCTCTTTTGTCAGTACTGGTTAAAAATTGGGCTGCTGCATTCTGGACCAGTTGTAGTCGTGCAATGGAGGTCTGACTGATACCAAACAGGAGCGAGTTGCAGTAATCGAGCCTGGATGTTATGAATGAAAGAAATTACTGTCTTCGCAAGTTATTTTTGGACAGAATGAGCTTCAGCTTAGACAGACGCCTCAGCTGGAAAAAACAGGATTTAACAATCATGTTTACATGACTGTTAAGTTTCAAGGAAGGGTCCATTATCACTCCCAGATTGTTTCTCTAACGGGGCTAGAGCGGAGAGGTCGATGCAGTGGTTGATTGTCGTTGGGAGGAAACAACATGACTTCAGACTTCTTCTCATCAAAACTTAAGAAATTTAAAGCCATCCAGTCTCTGATGTCAGCCAGGCAGTCAAGCAGAGGTTGAATGGAGCATGTACCATTGTTTTAGTGGGAAGTAAATTTGACAGTCATCGGCGTAGAGGTGAAAGGGTATGTTGTGTTTCTGGAAAATAGCACCTAGCGGCAGCAGGTATGAAGAAAATTGAATGGGACCGAGGATGGACCCCTGTGGTACCCCTCCCATTTAAGCGTTGCCTATGCTGAACTAAAATCTCTGATGGAGACACAAAAGGATCCGTCAGCGAGGTAGGATCTAAACCAATTGAGGGCTAAATTGACTGAATATGCTTTAAACTCTGTGTAACAAAGGACTGAGAAGCTTTCTGAGAACCAAGAGGGAGCAGATAGAGAACAAAGGTGGAAACACCAGCACTTTATGTTATATTTATTGAATGTTGATTCTTTACTGATTGCACCTCAAAGGGCGATCGCCTTAACCTTCTTTGTTTATATCCAAAGTCATCATTTGCTGTTAACTTGCAAAAAGGTCCAATACATTTTTAAAGCTTTTTATTTTTTCATTCCTACTTCGTCTAAATTAATTTGGAGTCCTGCATCGTCATCGAATAAACGGAACTCTGTAGCAACAGCGAAGGAAGCTAAAAACTTTCACGTTCACTTTGACAAGAGATCTGACTATTTTTGGAAGGAACCTGTTGACTAAAGCAGATGGCATTTCCAAGGCTGTTTATCCATGTCATTCTATGTATATATCACCACAAAACATAAGAAAAGCCAACTCTATTATCTTTCAGTTTTTGTGGAAAAATAAGACTCATTATGTTAAAAGGTCCCAACTAGTTAAAAAACATGAGCATGGTGGTATCAATGCACTAGACTTTGAAGCAATGGTTGGAACATTTAGGACTAAATGGTTAAAAACCTTTTTACAACAACAAAATTCAATGTGGTTTCATATCCCTGCCTCCATTTTTAAGCAGCTGGGAGGAATTGACTTCCTTGCAAGGTGTGACTTCGAAGTGACGAAGATTCCAGTTAAACTATCAAACTTCCACAAACAAGTTCTTCAGTTCTGGAAAATGATATTTCACCATAATTTCTCACCTCATGGATCAACTTTGTGGAATAATAGAACAATCACAGTGGGCAGAAAGTCAATATTTAGAAAAGACTGGTATGAAAAAGGCATCATTTTTGTAACAGACATCTTGGATTGTAATGGAGATCTTTTAAATTTCTCATCTTTTGTTAGAAAATATAACCTTAGCTGCTGCCATAAAGATTTTATGAAGGTATGTAAAGCAATCCCTTTAGCCTTGATTCAGTTAATTAAAAATATCATTATGTATTCAAAGGTGACCGTTTCCATGCCCACATTAAAACTAAATGACTGTAGTTTAGTTGATCTCAAATGTAATAACAAGATGATCAATGAATGCATGCGACAAACGATTTACTATGATTACAACAAAGATTCATTCAAGAAACCTCCCAATATAAATCATAAAACCATAATGACTTCTGCTCATTCAAAATTTGTCAAATGGCCTATATCTCCTAAAGTGAAAGAAAACCATTTTAAAATAATAAATAAGATCTATCCAGTAGCCATGCTTCTGCACAGAAGATTTAAATTTGAGGTGGATTTGTGTACCTTCTGTAAATCTGAAGATGAATCCCTTGAACATTTGTTTTTTTCATGTCAATACTCACAAAGTTTCTGGACTGACATTACAAACTGGATTAATCTAAAACTGAACATTCCTCCCTTTGATGCTGATGCCATTTTATTTTATATGGATAATTTAAGCTCAGCTTACTCCGATGCTATAAATATAGTCATCCTTATAGCAAAGTATCACATTCATTGTAGTATGTGGAGGGATAATCAGCCCTCCTTCCCATGTTTTATGAACGAATTCAAGTTGTACTATTCTTCAATAAGTAGATTAAAAAACTGGAAAACTGCTAGAACCATTTCACAACAGATATAAAAAAAACTTGTTGTTTTAAGTTTCTCATATTGTTTTGCTCCTTTTTGTTTCTTATGTTTATTCTTTTCATTTAATGTTTTTTATATATGTATTACTCAATTTTTATCATTTTGTAACCCCCCTAGCTTGTAAACTGTAGTTCTGACACCCTTCACGAGTGTTTGTATATATCTTTCTCTTTTGTAGTGTTTTGTAGTTCTGTGTGTTATTAATAAAAAAAAATAAATAAATTAATTAAAAAAACTTTCAGGGTTTATTTTCGTCCTTCAGCGCCCCCCCTGTCCACTCGGTGGAACTGCAGGCTCAAAGATCGTGAATTGAACAGATGATCCTCACCTCTTTGAAAAGCGTAGACGCTGTCTTTGTGTTGACACGTGAGAACTACCACCGTCCACGGAAACCCGCCGCGGTCCGACATCTGGCTGCAGCTACTAGCCTGAGCAGAAACTAGAAATAACTCCCTACTCACGCGCAGAGCCGTTTAACCGGTTTAACCCGCGACGAGACGGCCAACCGGAGGGAGTCAGCCGAACATTAGGCGGACTAACGTCGAACTAACAAACTTATCAGGATAAAACCGACTGCGATTTAAACTTTATCTGCGGCCTAGTTAGGAATTCAGACGTTCTCATCCGTGTACGCTTTGCTCAGTTTATTAACGTTTGACCGCGCGGGCTTCCGTATTCCAGACGGAGCCGTTTAATTTTTTTCATTGAACCTCCCGCCGGAGCGGATAACATGCAGTGAAAGCAGAAAAAATAACTTAATCTTATAGCAAGTCTTGATCAAAAGTAAAACATCTTGTTTTAATTAAAAAATAGTTTATCTTTTCATTTCAGTTCAATTTGTCACCAGATAAATCAGTTTCTACAAACTAAAGTTTCATTGAGAACCTGAAGATTCATTCAGTGAGCTGATCCACGATTGCAGTTTAAAATATAATTACATGAAAATAGTTTTAGTTGAGCAAGAGTTATATAAAATAAAACAAAGATGTGTTGAACAGAAAATGAACATCCTGAAGCATGCATCCTTCCAAAATGAAGCACAGATCACTGAACTGTTCCTCTGGATTAAAAACAAGTTTAATGAACTTTACAGAAATAATTCAATAGAAAATATTTACAGATGTACAAAAGAAGTTCACAGAACAACGTTCAGTCGTCTTCATCCTCGTCAGCTGGCAGAGGTCTGGACCTGAAAGAGAGGACCAGTTACAAACCAGAACCACAACTGATTCACATGAACATTACTTCCACTTCGAAGTTCAAGTCGAGTTTATTGTCATTTGCATAATATGTGGTGGTACGAAATTATGTACTCGAGGTCACAGTTACACCCAAAAATAGCTAAACATAAAAAAAGTTTTATTAAAATAGAAATTGCATTTAGTGACCTACGACTCTCCAACTCCAAGCATCAAAAAAATTTGAGTTATTTATTTATTAAAAAATAATAATAAATCAGATGACCGATTTTTAATCTCAATTTACAGCTAAAACCAAACGTTAAGCTTAAATAAGTTTGAGAATATTTCCTGCAGTAAAAAAAAAAAAACTCAAAGGAAATGAGGTTCTGGCTCCGTCACACAGGTGGTGTCAGGTTAGTGGCGCTGGAGGTCGATGTTAAAAACACAACAACATATATACGAGATGTTGAACATTTGTTTTTATGTTAAAAACAAAAAGAGATCGCTGAAATTATTCTGTTGTAAAAGCTTTGCACCGTTTCAAAAGTCGGGTTAGAAATACGATTACTGGTATACAGTACTGGGCTGAATGGAAATACAGTTTAGTTCTGGGGGGAGAGACGATTAAAACGAACTTTGCTGGAAAACTTGAAAATTGTCTGTGGTGCAAAAAAAAAAAAAGGCCTTAATTCAGAAAAGTGCACCCGATTCAAACCTGAAGCTTTTTACAGTGTCCCTAAACCCACTTGAGTTTTTACCCCACTCCATTTAAGAAATTAAAGATATTACAAACACCTGGTTGGTCAATAATGACAGCAATCAGCATTCTGAACTTTAAAACTAAACTCAGTTTCTCTGCTGCTTTTAGCTTCACAACAGAAATCTGACAACGAGCTCGGAGACCTGCTGCACTTTAGAAAAGGTCAACGCAGCAAACGTACTTCCTGCTGCTCTTCGACATCCCACTGCCTCCAGCCTCTTCGTCATCCTCAACCTCTTGGGGCCTCTGGTTCTCCTTCTCTGGCTTCCTAGGAGGCCCGCCAAAGAAGTCCCCGATGCCTTTCTGCCAGGTCGGGGTGGGACGGGGGCACACCGGGTTCCCACCGGCGTATTTGCCCTTTGCTGTGAATCAGAAAGTTCAGCTTCAGTCACATCGTGCAGGGTCTGAATGTGGGGTTTGGGTCTGCGTTCGGACCAGGACTGACCTGGAGTGGACGAGCTGCTGCTGGACGATGAAGAGTTGGCTGAACTGGAACCCAGAGACTTCCTGGGTGCAGCAGCTGCAACGGCTGCAAAACACAAACAGACCCATTTCTAATTAAATCTGAAAAGATGCACAATTTCCTGCAGTCTGAGGAAACAAGAAGAGTTTGATACATGACAAAAAGAAACCTGGAAGTTTTTCTTTTATATTCGGAATATAAGAAAGTAAATTATCAGCTTGCAAAAATTAGAAAATTAAGTAAATATATAATAAATTAAATGCATGTTTGACAAGTATGGCATGCTTATAATAGCTGCTTGTGCGTAATTCAATAAAATTTGTAAGCCGACATTATCTAATGATATACAGGGCTACAAATATTACATGTTTACGACAGTTTGAAGTTTAATTTCGTCAGAAAAGAAAATTAATAAAAACACGTAACTTTTTAACCGGAGTTTGGTGCCACCTTAGCTCAAAGACGCACTGCGGCACCCAAAACTGGCGCCAGTTTGACAAAAAGAAACATTTCACCACTTCTTGAACATTATTAACAAATCCAAGTAGTTTTCGTACTCCTCAAAACGTGAAGTTAAAGCTTATTTCAGACGCCAAAGTGACTTTAAAGTGTTTTTATTCTGTTGTTTTTCAGAGTGCAGCAGGAGCTAGGCTTGTGTTGGCGGGAGGATGTTTCTAGACGACCAGTCACGGATTTATGCACGAATATATTTACAATATACACAATGTGATAACTAAAATGTGAAAAATACCTAAAACTACGACAGGGGCCGAAGGAGACGAAACACGGTAATTTTATCTGCTCAGTTTGGCTGATTGTACCTAGCCCGCCAGACTGAACGAGAAACTGGCCAAATTCTACCATAAACCAATTTTTAAAAGCTCAATCCGATTCAGTTACCTAATTTTTTTAAACTTACCTTTTCTGTACGATGCGGGAACACTATCGGCTTTAGTTCTCACCATATTGGCACCGATCCGTGCGTGTACTAGTCACCACCAAATATACCGATCGAAAAATGACGGAGCAAAGCTCCCGCCTTGGTTTAAAGCGAAGAGCGGATGGGGCGGGAGATTTCTTCTTCTCTTGTTCAATTCTGACAGATTCAGACACGATGACACGCCTGACCCCTTGAGGTGAATGCTGGAAACAGTTGCTGCGTTAACAGCCAATCTGCCATTGGTTTTTACATTGAGACGTTATTCTCTTGTTCTTTTTGCTATATCTTCTCTGACGTTATCGCTACCATCCGACTTAATATTTATTCTTCTTTCGCTTCTTTTTCCAAACAACATCCCACTCTTCAAATCTCCCGCCACCGCCTACTTGCTTTCTGATCCGTCACTTCCTTCTGTCGTCTCCCAGTTTCTTCTTCGCCTGTTTTTTGTATTTTTATTTTATTTTTTAACTTGGGCTAGTTGTTTCCCTGCTTTGACACAACTGATTTAAATAAGTGGGTGATTAATCTAAGATTATCTTGATATAATATGTTAGTTTTGTTGGTTTTAACCTCACAGTTAAAGTTTAAATAGTTTGTCCCCTCTGGCTTACCGTAGTGGTGTTTGCGGCAGTCAGGTCTGAGAAACATTTTAATGCTTTTTAAGAATTGTTTTTCTTTTCAGTTTTGTACGACACTTCTTATATTAAGTTTTTTTTTAACGTTTAAAACTAGTTTTATTTCGTTTGGAGCAGTTTTTTTGGCTCGTTTGTTAAGTGTAAACCCGCGAATCGGCTGTTCCGAGAAGTTTGCTAATCCCGCTGGTTTGTTCAACTTTATGCTCTTAACTGTGTTTTTAGAGAAATGTAAGTGAGTTTTTAGCGTTTTAAAAGCTGTTGGAGCTTATTTTAATGCAACTGTAGAAAAGAACTGAGTTAACAAATGTTATGAAACGTCTAAAACTGCCTCTGAAGGCAGAAACAAGACTTACACTTCAATAATAAACAAGTGAGGTGCTTATTTTAACCTGCTACAGCCAATAAGTTTACCTTTAGAACGCGTTTAAATGTTTACTAGCTAAAACTTATATTTTTGTGCCAATGGTTCATATTTTCATATAACACAAAGGATGGGTGTTATTATCAACATTAATGCTTTATTGCTGGACTTGGATCAGGGTTCTGTGATGGTTCTAAGTTTGGATCAAAGGGATCTCCTGTCCCCACCAGGACAACCTCATACTGTTGGACACCTTAGGACAAAATAGCAGCTGAATATATTTAATGTTTTGCCTCATTTATGTTTTTATATCCATCCAGTTAAGTCTTGTCTCTGCGCTCAGGTGTGTTTGTTTTCGCCTCCAGCTGCTGCCATGGAGGAGGTGACACGCCTGGTTTCCACCGGAGACTGTGTGAAGATCTGGGATGCGGTTTCCTTGGCCCCTCTGGAGCAGTTCAACCCCCACAGCAGCAGTCACCCCGTTGCTCAGGCCTGCTGGAGCTCCAACAGTATCCTGACGGGTGGACGTTTCTGATTCACAGTATTTTTTTTTGTTGCCGATCCCTGAAAAAGTATTACTTTCAGAGCTGTAGAGCTTGTTGGCATCAAACATCTCCTGTGCACGAGCAGATCTGTCTCTGCAGCTGATTTCGTTCTGTGTTGACTGACGGCAGCTTCGGTTCTGTTTGAGTTTTTCAGCTGTGAGGACTGAAACTGAGAGAAGTTTGAAGACAATCCAGCAGGAAGTCTGAAGCACTTGATCCGACTGACTGAAGCTTAAACCTGAAGTTCTGTTTAACCTGGACCGTTCTTTATTGTGTGAGTGCTGAGTCGGCATTTATTCCCTACTACGTACTATTTTTCATTCATTATTGTAATCGTAACTACCTCTGCAGCTCTAACCAGGTTGATCAACCTTGTTGGACTTGTTGATCCACTATGAGAAGGTGCTGCTTATAAGACGGTTTGTTGCAGCTCCTCAGAAGTTTTCTGGATAAAAGATGAAACGTTTCAGAAAAAAAGAATCGGTCCAGACGACCTGACTCAACCTTGAGGGATTCATCCACCTGGATTATTGAGCATGCATCAGGATACTTCTGCTCTTTAGCTGTTCATAAAATGGGTGCCGTGACTTTTATAGTATACCTTTTTATTTATTTATTTTTAATATTTAACTTTGTTTAAAATGAAACTTCCATAAAAATACATTTAGAATCTCTTAATTATTATTATTATTTTTTTTATTTAAAATCTGCTCCAACAAGCAAGCTCTATTTTCATCTTATGCTGCTATTAGCATTTAGCTACTGTTTTAGCTTTAGGCTGTTTGTTTGCTGTTTGGAGTAATGATGCAAGTTTAATTTAAAGTAAAAGGAAAGTTGAACCTTAGCAAAAAGTTTAATTTCAGCACAAATACCATTGAACTAAATTGTGAGAGTTGATGAAAAACGTTTTTTTATGAAAACTTTTTTTTTAATTTTCAGGTTTCATGGCGAGAACAATTCGCACCTCTTCTACCTGACTCGCCTCGTTCTGTCCCACAGTTTCCATCACATTTTCTAACTTTTTAGTTCATTTTATTCTGTGTAAATGTTAAATAGTTGTGATCTGACAGAATAAAAAGATTCCGTCCTTGACCGGCCGGTTCAGACCAGTTTCTGGTGAGCGCCAGCAGCTGCGGAGACAAACTGGTGGTTTCCAGTCTCAAGTCCAAGCCGGTCCCGGTGGGGGAACTGGGTGAAGGGGTGAGTACAGAACCGAGCCATTATTCTGCTTTAACAGCATCTTTTTCTGGTTACTCTCCAGAAATTATCGCCTGCTGCAAAAAGACAAAATGCAGTTGATTCTTTCCTGTGTGTGTTGGGGAAACATCTCACGAACAAGTCTATAACTGATCATTTTTTTAATTCAACCTGATTTAAGATGGCTGCCAGAGCCAGCTGATCATAAAAACACAATAATGTCCATAATTTATTCAGTTTTACAGAAACTGAGCCAAAGTGTTAGTAGCTGAGAGCCGTCCCCAACAGATACTGGGATGTCGTCTGAACTCGCTCGTGTTTTCAAGCGTTGAACAAAAAGTCTCCATTTCTCAGTCTGAGAGGAACTTCGGTTTAATGTCGAGCGTCATGAAGCACGGCGAGAGATATGCATTCCCTCGAGGAGTGGTAGACGTTTTATTGGAAGCTGGAGGAGTAGGAAACGTTTATAAAATCCTCCTCAGGTTCTGGTTAATCGTCCTTGACGTTGTCCTTCTGTGTGTTCAGAAAAAGCAGACCCGTGTGTGTTTGAGCTCCTCGTCTCATTTCCTGGTCAGCGGGGGTCTGGATCACTGTGTCCACATCTGGGACCTGAAGACCATAAAGCTGCACCGCTCCCTCAAAGTAAGAGTTCTCCCACCTGAAACATCTGCTCAGAGGGTAAACGATAATCTGCGTCTGTCTCTGTAGGACCATAAAGAAGAGGTGACCTGTGTGTCCTTTAACGCCAACGGCAGCTGCGTGGCCTCAGGCTCCACCAGCGGGGACCTGGTCCTCCACAGTCTGACCACCAACCTGTCCAGCAGAGCGTTCGGTCATGGCAGCAACCAGGTGAGGCAGACGCCGCGTCCTGCTCGGATCGACACAAACTGACCGACCGCTCTCTGCAGCCAATGAGATGTCGTTTTTCCAGGTTACAGCAGCCAATCAGAGTCGGAGCTTAGACCCCGCCCCTCATTTGATTTAAACAAACTGGAAGAAGTTTGATTTTATTTGTCTTCAGAATAAAATCAGACTAAAAGTTTTTCCCCTTTGGCTTTCCCTAAAACTTCTATATTTTTCTGACACTCTTAAGTATATTATGAAAAATTATAGAATAACCTAGGGAGACTAGTGGTGGCAGCCATGTTGAATGTGCCGCCATCCACACGAAGGGAGGTGGTTGGTGTGTCACCTGGATGACTGCCACGTGGGCACATGTCCTCTACTCCTCTGAGTTTTTTTTGTTTGAAGTTTGAACTCTTCTTCTGCTTCCTCAGCCCATTCACGACCTGCGGCTGTCCACGGTGAAACGCTCCCTGCTGGGCAGCGTCTCGGACAGCGGCACCGTGGTCCTGTGGGACTCCAACACCCAGAAGGAGCTGCACGTGTTTGACAGCGCCCACAAGGCCCCGGGCTCCGGCCTCGCCTTCTCCCCCACCAACGACCTGCTCTTCGTCAGCGTTGGCCTCGACAAGAAGATCGTCTACTACGACACGACCAGCAAGAAGTGAGCGTGCGCACACTTCCTGTTTCAGCTTGAGAGCTCGGTCCAGTGTCCATCAGATCAGACGTCACGCTGGTCTTTTTAAAACTTCGTTAAAAAAGAACAACAAAGAGTAAAATATCGACCTGGTCTGATCTGGACGGTTTCAGGTTGAGCTCTCTGAAAGAATTCAAACCCGTCTCTGTCTGTCTGCAGAGTCCTGGCGTCGATCCGTGTGGAGAGTCCTCTCACCGCGGTGGACTTCGCGTTGGACGGTGTTGGCCTGGTGGTCGGTTCCACTCGGGGGAAGATCTATCAGTACGACCTGAGGAACACCAGCACACCAACCAAGATCACCGTGGCCCACAAAACCTCCGTCACCTGCCTGCGTTTCCAGAGCAATGTCGGCCGAGACAAGGTACCATCAGGTGGACCAGAAACCAGACTGGCAACTAGATTTTTTTTTTTACTCGTGACGCGCCTCAACATTCCTCTGATCCTAGAAGACAAAAATTTTAAAATACATAATTTTTAACATCATCCCATAAATTTAATCTCGTCTTTGTCCCTCTCAGTCCAATAAACTGGGACCCACCAGGATCTCCAGTACAAAAAGATCCAGCTCCAAACTGCCCAGCAGCCACTCAGACTCCGCCCCCAGCACAGGTCCCGCCCCCCACAGACAGGAGACCAGCACAGGTGGGTCAAAAACAGCTTCAGTCAAATCTCTGCAGCAGAAACATGAAAATTAACCAGTTTGATGTGATTAAAAATGAATTAAAAAAGAAAACGGTAATATTCTTGTTCCCCATAATGAAACCTGTTCTTCCAGCTCCTCAGAAATTAAGTAAATCAAAATTTTCATACCATTATTTTCTAAAACCTGAAGGGAAAATCTCCTGTTGGGGGACGAGTATGAAATAAACTTTTCTCACTGCCTTCCGAGAGTTGGCGAGCTGCGCGGCCACGTTTTAGTTCACTGCCCACGTTGTGCCCCCTTGACCCTCGTGTTTATGATCTGCTGGAGTTCACTTTAGGAAGGAACGGGAGCAGATTGGACCAGTTGGTTTTGTCATTGGTTTAAAACCATTGACGTTTGAGGCTGCAGCATGGCGCTCTGAAGAAGCCTGTAACGACTCCGGGACTAATATGAGAGGAAAATTTGCTGCTCAAGATTTATTTATTTATTTACATCTTCAAAATACAAATGTCTCACTTGAGGAAAATAAAGAACCATGTTCTGGAGACTCCGCCTCCAATGCTGTTTACCAACACCCACTGAGAAACCACCTGAAAAGGCCAAACTTTGCAAAATTGCTATTGACTTTATATAAAATAATTGTCAGCATTTTTTTTTTCTTTCAAGTGATCAAGCTCCTGTTTTTGTTTTTTAAACACGATAATAAAAATGTAAAGTAAAAGTGATATGCTTCAACATTCCCTCAGCATCATGTTAAACGCGTTTAATGTTACATCTGTATTTGTCTCCATGGTAACCAAAAGACAAAAGGTTTTCTGTCTCAGAGTTTTATTTAATCGTGTTAGTCGAGAAACGTTTGAAACGATAAGTGCGGCTCTGTGTGCAACAGGAGGCACCGGCGTGGAGGCGTTGTGCGAGGCCAAGGTCCAGCAGGGGGCGGAGCCACTCCCTCCCGTGGAGAAGTTCAGCGGAGTGGGACGAAACAGTCTGGACATCTTCTCGCCAGCTCGTGAAGGTTTGAAACGACCAGGATTTTTTTTTTTTTGGAAAAGATCTGGAAACATGAAGCCACTAAACTCGAGGTTAAAATAATTAAAATATAACGAATAAAACTTTTTTCCCCCCCATTCATTCAACCTTTATTTATACAGGTTCATCCCGTTGAGCCTCTGGGACTCCTTTACATGAGGGACCTGATAAATACAACTTGATAATAGCTGCTTTGTCTGATGGCCACCAGGGGGCGCTCCTGCAGACATTATTCTTAAAATACTTCCTGTTTTGTTGTAACTCATAATTTCTGATATCTGAACATTTTTCTGAGGACTTGTTTTGACCTTCACTGGGTGACCTTTGATCCATTAGAGAAGAAAATATTAAAAACTTTCAGACAAAATTACTTTTAAATTCTCAGCTTGTCTCGGATTAACTTTTTGACGCAGATTTTGTAGTTTCAGCAGACGGCAGCTGTGAGCTTCCTCGTTTTCTGTTGTTGTTGCTGTTGTTGTTGTTGTTATAAGCTATAAAATAACGATACTCGTCCACCTAACCCTCCCTCCAGTCAAACCATTAAAACTTGATTTGTTGATGTTCTCAGTCTCTCGCACCTCCATCTTCCTGTTTGTCTCGCTCACGTTGCTCCTCTCTGTTGGTTCTGTTCTGGGACTGTTTCAGGTCCAGACTCGGGGAACCAGGGCAGGACCGGAGAGACCCCGTTTGGAAGAACAAATGGTTGGACAGGAAGTCGCTTTTGTTTAACAGGAAGTGCTTTTTTTTTTTTTTTTTTTTAATGACATGTTCTGGACTGATGTTTCTGTGTTTTCATAGTTGCTGGTCTGGAGCTGATGTCCAGAGAGGGGGAGGGACAGCAGCTGGTTGGACGGGGCAGTCTGGACATCTTCTCCCCGGTCCGAGGAGGTCAGAACTTTGTCCTTTAGTGTTTTATAAGAGACACGTTGAATCAACAAAATTAGACCATCAGGATCATTTGTTTTGTCAAACTGAGTACAATGCAGAGAGCCAGTACCTGATAAATATTAAATACCATACTTGACGCCGTACACGTCGCACCGCCGTGTAAGTCGCATCTATTATGCTTCACCGCTGACCACCCGGAAACGTGTGCCGGTGTTGTGCCAAAAATCAGTTGGCTGCCAAAAGGCGGCTGCTGGAGCATGCACGGGAGGACTTTAACAAGAATTTAACAAGATTAACACTTAAAAATAATTGTTTGCTCGACATTATAGTAAAGGTGTGTCTCAGTTTAACTTTTCCTTAATAAATGCACTTTAATGGTCAAATCGGCTGCATTGTGCCTGGGTGGCGCGGCGAAATGAAGCCGATTTGACATTTGCTCTAGGAGTTCCAGAGCAAGACGAAGGTGCCTGTATGGCAAGCCAAGTGTCTCATTAATAGCCACTTTTACCTATTAATGAGAGACTTGGCTTGCCAGATATGTCAAGGGACCTCTAGTGGCTGAACATGGTAGTGTTCAATATTTTCCATGTCAGAATGAATGAAATCGTCAGTTCTCAGCCAAAAATTGGGTTGTAAATAGTGTATAAGTCGCAGGACTTGCAAATTTATACAAAAAGCTGCGACTTATATGGCAAAAAATACGGTACTACTAAATACTGGTAGACGTCTTACAAACATTTAAAATGTGTTATAAATGGAAGGAGCGTCACTCAAACGGAGGACGACAGCAGCCGTCTTGTCCCAAATGTCCTGTTTATGAGGCCGTATATTTTCCCAGAATCCTCTTCTGCTCAGAGACTGTAGATCATGTGTGTCAAACTCTAGGCCTGGGGGCCAAATATGGCCCTCATTGACATTTTTTGTGGCCCCCAAGATGTTATGTGCAACGTAAAATACTTTTTATCTTTTGAATTTTTTTCAGTAATCTTTGATTATGATATCGAAATTTGAAAAAATTGCCCCTTAGTTTGAAAAAGGTTTAGATTTTGGCCCCCTTTTGTAAGTGAGTTTGACACCCCTGCTGTAAATCATCGTCTGTAATTAAGATGAAAACTTCGCATCTATTTGATTGTTTGTTTTTTTGCTGTTTTTATGCTCAAATGATGATCGTATATTAGACATAAAAATGAATTGGTGTTTTAATTAAAACAACAATCCAGTAAACTGTTTGTTCTGACAGATTAAATTTGTTTTCATAAAAGTTCATTTCATATTTGATATCAGAAACTCAAAAGTCTCCAACAGTCTGTGTGAGAGGCGGGGACACGTGGACAAGTCCACAAATAAAATGTCCCACAGACCAGGAACAAGCCTGTTAGGTTGATTGGAAACGTGAGATTGTCCCACGATGTGAGTGAGACGACCCGACCCGTTTCTCACAAACTGAACCAGAATTTTGAATCTGCTTTTAGAGCCTCTGGGATCTGCTCATGTCTGACCTGCTGGTGTTTGTTTGTTGTCATGGAGACGGGTGTGGTCATGTCTCAGACTCAGGTACTGGAGGTCCACAGCGTAAGACCCCCCTGGGGAACCAGATGGGCCCGTCTGCAGATTGGTTTTACAGCCCGCTGTCCGTGTTCCAGTCCCCACTACCAATCAGGGAAGAGGAGCCAAACAGTGCTGAAGCATGTGACTCCAAAAAGGTCATGACCCCTGCCTCCCCAGAAGAACTCAAACGTCCATAAATCTTAAACAAAAATAAGTTTCTGCAATTTTTGATAAAATTTTTGTTTCTTCCTGGTTCAACAGTCTGGTGAGGCCAGCAGGTCCAGTCTGGAAGGAGAGGCTGAGGCTCCGCCCACCACACCCCAACAAACCAATCAGAGTCAGTCGGCCCCACCCTCCTTAACTCCAGAGCCCAGCCTCTGCAGAGGGAACGGCGTCCAGTCTCAGTTGAGCTACGATTCACCTGTCCTCAGGACTCCGCCCCCCACCGCAGCAGGTACAGCTCTGTTTCCACGGTGACAACAGCGTAGGTCTGGGTCCTGAAGTTTCTGATAATCTGGTTCTGTTCAAAGCTTCTGGTCCAGCTGCGGCAGTCGCCATGTCGTCCTCGCTCTCCCAGAACACAGCAGATGTGGTCGGGCAGGAAGGCGCCGCCCCGCTGACCTCCCTGCAGTTCCACTTCATCCGGAACATGATCCGCGATGAGATGGAGGAGTTGAGGTTCGTGACCTTTGACACCACCTGCCTTCTGGGGAGGGGGGCGGTGAGGGTTTCAGTTGAAACACTGAGCAGGTCTGAAATCCGACAACCGGTTTTTCTTTCATGGAAAGTAGTTTTTGTTTTTTCATCGTTTTTATAAATTTCATATTAATAGAAAAATAGCATTTTTGAAAAGTTTTTTTCTGTTAATCTGTCTTGAAGTAAAAAATGTTTAAGCCCTAAAGTTAAATAATTAAATAAATGTATGTATAAATAAATGCAGCAGCATTTCAAAAGAAAATCATTGGAAACAAGATGAAGAAACTAAAAGATCAGAGATTTTTGCTGAAAGTTTTCTGAGTATTTTTGGGAAATTTGAATTTTGTACAAGTTTCGTTTTTCTCATCTTGTTAAAAAAAATCATTTTAACCTTTCAGTTTTTGATACAAATTATGACTGCTCTGAAAATGTTGTCCTGGTTTAAAAGTTGAGGTTCTGTTGGATCTGATCCATGTCATGAGAATAAAAAGCATTTGTTGTTTGTGTCCAGAACCACCTGCCATCAGGACATCATCAACCTACAGGTGGAGATGATCCGACAGTTTTACATCCAGCTGGTACAGCCTCCATCTTTCTGGTTTTTATGCGTTTCAGGAAGGAGAACCTTCATCTGCGAGATTAATTCCAAACATCTGTCCAGATGTGACGTTTACGTGCTGTGTGTTTCAGATGGAGGTCCACAGTCTGATAGAGAACTACTCAGTCAACGAGTCTCTGGTGGAGGAGATCGAGAGGCTGCGAGAGGAAAACCGTCGTCTGCGAGCCAAGTACTGATCCTGTGAGCCCCGAGTCGGGTCTTGAAGGCTGCAGCAGAAACATGACGATTCTGCCTCAGAGCTCCGTCTTGCAGGAAGTGTTGACAAACACCCAAAGCCCTTTTAAATCTGAGGTTTAATTTGTTTTTATTTAATGCGTTTACATTTTGTGAAAAATAAAAGCTTGTACAAATTAGCAGTTTGAATGATTCTTTAAATGAAAATTACGGTTTTATTTTATTGTTTTAATTTATGTCTGTGTATCACTGAGATAATCTCACTTGTGCAAAAAGCCTAGATTTATTCAGGTAAGGTTTTCTAAAGAATAATGATAATTTAAAGTGGATTACATAGACCAGGTGTCATCTAATTATACAGAGCAGTGGAGATAAAACAGCCTTGGTGAACTCTGAAAAAATATACTAGAAAAGATGGATAAAAATATTTTAAAAACCCATCTTATTTAATACTTTATTTTTTTAATAGTTTTATGATTTTCCTTATTTTCTGAATGCTAGAATGACAAAGAACCTTGAATCCTTGAAAATGAGTTTTATTGCAACACAAATTTCATTACTGATCCAATGAGGTTGCACTTTGTTAAAAACGAGTGCCGGTTCGTTCTTCCTGGATTAGTTTGATCGGAGGGAAAGACGAGGCTTCCTTCAGGTTTAACAACATTTATTTTCACAAACAGATTTATGCACAGAATACAAGCAGATCTGGAGAAGCGGACCCAGTATGACAGGCGCCGGTTGAAAAACAAAGGAAACGTACCTCCTTATAACACCTGGGGGCCTCCACCCGGGAGATATTTTGATCTTCTGCACAGGAAAAACACAATTCACCTCCTCAGCGCTTCTATGACTCAATGTACAATGTTATCTCTTGGTGCCTCCAAATGGTGGAGTTTTCTCAGAGGCCCTACAACATCCATCCATCCATTATCTTTTACCCGCTTCTTCCATTTTGGGTCACGGGGGTCGCTGGTGCCCATGTCCAGCAATCACTGTGCGAGGGGCGGGGTACACCCTGGACGGGTCACAAGTCCATCACAGGGACACAGAGACAAACGAGACAAACAACCATTCACTCACACCTAGAGACAATTTAGAGTTACCAATCAGTCTAACATGCATGTTTCTGGTCTGTGAGAGGAAACCGGAGTACCTGGAAAAAAACCCATGCATGCACGGAGAGAACATGCAAACTCCACCCCGAAAAGCCCCTGAACCAGGATTTGAACTCGGGACTTGCTCACTTAGCAAAGTGACATTTATGTTTATTTCCATTTTATTAGACATATTTGGACTGATGTGACTTGTACGGCGGTGCGACGTGTACGGCAGAAAATACGGTAATTTAGAACAAATGTTCACCTTTTCATCTGACCAGTTTATCTTCTTCACTGGAAACTTAACACGATAGTTCTGGTTGTTTATCCAGAAGATTTCTTAACAGCGAAGCAGCGTTTTTTTGGTTCTGTTTCAGTTTCACGGACGTGTACGCCGGCAGGCCTGGAAGCTCGAACAGCGCTGTGGTTCTGTCCAGCTCGGACCTGTTCCTGAAGGCAGAGGAGCGCCCAGACTTGTTCCCCAGAGAGGTGAGCATGCGCGACCATTCACCCCCTCCTAAGAAACATTGATGCTCAGCTCTATGGAGCTGAAATCACCAATTTCAGAGGAACTCTGACCTCTGACCTTAACTCTGATTCATTGGCTCCTGAACCAACAGGATGAAACAAGAGTTGTGTCAATGTGTCGTAGACGCCTGAAGAAAGTTTCCATTGAATCTTCAGTGTCTTTGTTCCCAGCAGCAGGTCACAGAAACACAGTCTGTTTCTTTGGAATCTAAAATAGAATTTCAACTCTAAAAGTCAGCGTTGACTCTGCGTTCACACACGAGGAGCAGCTGGTGGATAAGTTGTGTGTCTGGATGACAGAAATAAAGAAGAGCTGTTTCTTTCAGAAATCGCTGCTGTCTGACGGCGTGGAGATCCCCGTCCACCTGATCGGCGACGCCTCGCTCCCCCTGAAGCCCTGGCTGATGAAGGGCTATGGTGAGACGCATCGGCTGTCCCCGGAGCAGCGCCGCTACACCTTGGCCTCGGCCCACTCCGTGGTTGACACTGCCTTCATGCGGCCGAAGGAGCGCTGGAGATGTCTGCTGAAGAAAAGCGAGATGCACGTGTCCATGATGCCGCAGGTGGTGGCGGCCTGCTGCGTCCTGCCAAACATCTGCGAGCGGTGAAGAGACGCCTTCCTGCCTGAGTGGTGCGTGGAGATGGCGCCGCACGGAATGTACCTGATCCAACTGGCAGCGGAGCCATTCAGAGGAGACTCGTACGACGTGGCGGAGGTGATCCGAGACACCATCACCTACAACCTGCTGACCCTCCTGCTGAACTGAACTCGCACCTGCAGCTCCAGGAACACAGAAACGTTTCAGTTTTATACCTTTTATTTAATTTTATACTTGTAGGTCCTTTCAGTTTCCAGAGGAGGTTAACTCATTTTCACCCACCGCTAAAGGCTGGGGCAAAAATGGTTTTATCTCTGACTGCCTGTTAGCAAAATATCTCATGAACCACTGGACAGATGTTTATGAAAGTCTCAGCTTTTGTTTGATGAGTCTCTTTATGCTTCAGTTTTGTTTTTGTGTCTCCTGCTTCCTGTCAGCTGACACTGAAAGTTCAGCCTTTTCAGTCATTCAGCACTCTGCATTATTCTGCGTTTTCACAGAAAATGATGTTTTTTTTCTACTTTAATTTGCTTTTGTATTGTATCAATACTGATCATTTTTTGTCCAAGAAGCTCGGGAATAATCAGAATCGGTACATTCCAGTAAAAAAAGCTTATTTAAAAACGGTCTGGTTTCATTCATAAATAAATACATTTTATTTCTCTTTCTGCCTTCCTATTCTGAGTTCAGATCCCTTCTGTTTAAATCTGAACGTTGAAGGAGGACAAAGTGCTGAAAGCACCAAATCTGAAACTAGTTTATCAAATGCCTTACCTATTATACTTTCTTTTTACAATAATAACAAAAACACAAAAAAATGGCAATGACAAATTCACATTTAACAAATTTATTTCAGCTAACATGTTATAATTAAACCTCCCTATCAATAACAGCATTTTTATCCAAGAATATAACATATTAGTATAACTTGGGTATTATTAACATCAGAATATATAGACAATTGAACAGGAAAAAAAAAAAGAAAACTTAAGGAAATCACATTAAATTAAGATTTTAACAGCAAAAATTAAGCTAAAACCTGGGGTTTATAACAACTTAAACTCAGATATGATAGAGAAAAGTTAGATAACAGGGCTTGTATTAAATTTTTTTAAAAGATTTACCAAATAATAAAAACTCATTTTTAAACGCTTTTACAATTGGAAGAACTTTTGTAAAACGACGTTTATGAATGTTATACCTTTTATTATACATTCTGTAAGTCAGTCTTGTGGCCATTTTGACTAACTTCATATTTTTTAATTAATTCCGATTTTTCAAAGGTATACTGATTTTGGCTGAAGCTCCAGACTGCACTTTTTAAACATTAGTCCAGAACTTAGGACTGTGGGCCTTTAAAATCAGTGTTTATTCTTCTTCCATCAAATTATCTGCTTTCTTGAAGGGCTTTAACATACTTTAAACATTTTGTAAACACCTTCAGAGAAACTGAGCATAGTGTGGGAAACGATGCAGTGAAGATCCTGTTTGAAACTTAATGAATCATAAAAGTGTTTAGGCCTTTTTTCTGCGTGCTTAATAATAACTCAGTGTTGGATCTTTCTGCCAAATTATTAAATTTTTCGAAATTTTTACTGTAAACCGGATGTAAAAGAAATCCCCGCCCACCTACTTCCGGTCCAAGATAAAAGTAAATATTATGAATCCGCTGTGATGCTGTAATCAATACCCAAACTTCAAATGCACAAATTCGGTTGGTTTATTTACTTTTTTCTATCAACTGTGATCAATTTAGGCTCGGTTTGTTGCCATGTTCCTGTAGCTGATGTATTTAGTTTCTTAATAAGAAATATTAAGCAACTATAACCGTCTGAAACTTAGTTAGCTTAGCTTAATTAGCTTGCTGATGATAGAATGGCGCACAACCTGAGAACAGCAGGCGTCAGCACCATTCAGATAAACAGTTTAATGACCACACAATTATTTTAAAAGTTGCTAGCCGTCAGGCTGCCATAGTTGCCTGCTGTTAGCTTAACTCTTAGCTGTTGTCATTTATTTGCGAAGTACAAACAAAAAGCAACAGAAGTCTCTTAAATCTGTTATGAGAAGTGGCAGTATGCTATTAGTTCCTGCCCTTTTGGAGGACTCGTATAAAGAGCAGACGTAAAAGCAGATTCTGGCTGTGCTGTCTGTTTGTAAGATGTTTGTTGTCTGCAGGCGGGTAATGGAGACCACAGCTGTGGGCTGTTTTCAGCCTGTTTGTGGGGGCTCTGATTGTCCAGATGGAAGTGGGTGAAACAGCTGGGGGTCTGGGTGTGTTCTGTGTCTTAGTTCTGAGTCAGCAAAAATACAGTCTGTGTTGAGGAGCTCAGCCCAGACACCTGGACAGCTTTCACCACCTGGTTATAGCTCCTGTCAATATTGAACAAAACTAGTTTGAAGTTTCTGACATCCAACATCAGGCGTTTTAACAGTCGGTCAGTGAACTCATTAACACACAGGTGACACCTGACACCTTCGTGTTCCCGTCTGACAGGTGACACCTGACAGATGTCAGAGAGGAACACAGTTTCAGTACTTTGTACATCCCATAGGATGAACTTTGACTTGATGTGGAAATAAGTGATGCTTGTGTGAATATAAAGTAACAGTTTTCCACACTGTGATTGTGTTTCAGTGTTCCCTGTAGATGTTCAGCAGATGGTGCTGACCAGAGAAGATGCTCCTGATGAACAAAGACTCGGAGTGAACCAGCAGGATCCAGAACCCCTCCTCCTCATAAAGAAGGAAGAGGAGGAACTTGATGATGACGAAGAAGAGGAGACTAATGCCACTGGGTTTCACATCACTGTAGTTTCTTTGAAGAGTGAGGATGATGAAGAGAAACTTCCATTCTCACAGGTTCAGGACCAAATGGAAGATGGAGATCTTCCAGGCAGCAGCTCAGCTGAAGTAAAAGTAGATGGTGGTGGAGAGGACTGTGTAGGAGCAGAAACTACCAGGAACACAGAACTAAATCTTCATGAAGATAACTCCACCTCTTCAGAGGCTGAAGTCAGTGAGGATAATGTGAACAGTCCTGACTCATGCAGAAAAATCAAAAATGGATTGAAATTGTTCAGTTGTGATGACTGTGGTAAAACATTCATGAGAAAAGGAGATCTGAACTCACACACAAGAGTCCACACAGGGGAGAAACCTTTTGAATGTGATTTTTGTGGACAAAGATTCACTCACAAATCAACTTTAAACAGACACATGAGAGTCCATACCGGGGAGAAACCCTTTGACTGTGATCTTTGTGGGCACAGATTTAACCTCAAGTCAGATTTAGACCGACACATGAGAGTCCACTCAGGACACAAACCATTTGTGTGTGATTTTTGTGACCACAGTTTTAGCCTAAAGGCTAATTTAAACTCGCACATGAGAATCCACACGGGACAGAAACCATTTGTCTGTGATATTTGTGGACACAGATTTAGCCACAAGTCTGATTTAAACCAACACATGAGAGTCCACACAGGACAAAAACCATTTGTTTGTGATATTTGTGAGCACAGATTTAACCACAAGTCAACTCTAAACTCACACATGAGAGTCCACACAGGACAGAAACCATTTGTGTGTGGTGTCTGTCAACAAAGATTTAGCCTAAAGGCAAATTTAGACCGACACATGGGGATCCACTCTGGACAGAAGCTGTTTGTCTGCGACGTTTGTGAACACAGATTTAGTAGGAAGTCCACTTTAATCAGACACATGAGAGTGCACACAGGACAGAAACCATTTGTGTGTGACATCTGTGGACACAGATTTAGTATAAAGTCAAATTTAACCGCACACGTGATTACCCACACAGGAGAGAAACCGTTTGTTTGTGCTGTCTGCGAGCACAGATTTAACCGAAAGTCATATTTAATCAAACACATGAAAGTCCACAAAGAAAACAAAGAAGTTGTTTGTAGTGATTCTCAGAAGACCCAAGAGTCCACAGAGGAAGCAAAACAGTTCAGCTGCGATGATTAATAGGCTACTAAAGACACCTCTGTTGCACTTAATTTTTTATAATAAATGTATTTTATCATATGTTTATAATTTATTATAAACATGTTTTTTATGCTCTTTAGTGCCAAGTTTCCTATTTCTGATGTTTTTTTATTTATTTTATAACAGGTTAGAGTTAGGGTTAATTAATATGAGGCTTTAACATGTGAATATTTGCTAAATGTTGATGTGCTTAGTTGAACTGTACTTCACATTTGTTTACTTTCTGGATAAAAGTTATAATAGTAAGTGTTTAGGAACTTTTTATGCTTGAATACTTGAAAAAAAATCAGAATCAAGCCTTAAGAATAATTGCTAGAACCAAAAAACAATTTAAATAAGCATTCCGTGAAGGGATGAGTATCAACTACCACCTCTGGCAGAGTTTTAATCTAATTTAGATCTAAGGTAGAGAAATGACAGACTTACAGTCCTTTTGGTCAAACCTTGAGAACCTTATACACAGTTGTACGTTTAATGTGAGATGATGCATGAGCTCAAATATGTGTTGAGGATGATTCACACCTAGTACCACATGAAGTTTAAGTACAGGATCTGTAAAATGGAGTTATCAACATGTTTTTTTAAACTAAAACCACTTAGCTGGGGCAGCCATTTTAAATTAGATTGACATCAGAAGTTAATGTAGATGTAAATACCCTTTTTAATTTCTGAGAGTTCTGAGATATTTTGCTAAAACTGTGACTGCCTTTCCTTTGCTTGAACTATCTCCTCCAGTCCTTCAGGGGGCGGTATGCACCGGTTTACGGATCCTCGCGGGGAGAAAAGAGTGCGCATGCGCTTTGGTGTCCTTAAAATATGTTTTTCCAGGCAAGCGTTTCTGTCTGCGGTGTTATTAAAAGGTCTTTTCAGCAGATCCGGTTCGGAGTAGTAAACGGTGTCACTGGACCAGGTCTGGTCCCAGTTCTTTGTTGCCGGTTTGCCGTTTTCCTTTGCTCTCCTCCGGCTCCTTTCCCCGCAGACTTCCGGTCCGAGCGGCGGTTCTCCAGAAACGGACCGATGCCCAGGAAGGTCTGTCCAAACTAATTAATAAAAGTTATGTAGCCCTGTTGTTTTTGTCCAAAACTTGTCAGACTGATTCTGTTTATAATGGACATGAAACCACATCATCTGTTATCTAAATCATAAACTTGGTTTAGACATTTTTTATTCACAAACATCAGAATAAACATGAGAAAAAACACAAGCAAACATTAACAAAGTGAAATTCACTTTGTTCATGGGCTGTTCCTGAATGTCCCTGCGGTGTCCATTCTTCATATTTTATCCTCAGTTGACGTCAAAGTTCAAGTAGCAATGAACTAAGATAAATAAACTAAGATAATAATGCTATAAAAGAGCTAAAAGTAACTGCTAGTAGTTATTAGCTAAATAAAATGTTATTTAGCTAATAGTAACAATGCTAGTTAAAAGCTAAAAGTAATAATACTAGTTATAAGTTAAATATAATATGCTATTAAAAAGCTAAAATAGCAGTGTTAGCTATAAGCTAAAGATAATGCTATTAAAGAGCTAAAAGTAACAATGCTATCTACAAGCTAAAGGTAATGCTATTAAAGAGCTAAAAGTAACAATGCTATCTACAAGCTAAAGGTAATGCTATTAAGCTAATAGTAACAATGCTAGTTATAAGCTCAAAATAACAATACTAGCTAAAAGTAGCAAACCACTACCTAAAGCTAAATGTACCAGAAAGTAAGTTAAAAGTAGCAAAAATTTACCTAAAATCTAAACACTGCAAAAGATTAGCTTTATGATAAAAGTAGCAAAAAGTAGCAGAACAGTAGCAACAAAAGTTAGCACAAGAAGACACAACTAGAGCTAGTATGGGGGAAAAACTTTTTTTTTTTTAATCAAGAAACTGATCAAATATTTGTAAATAAAGTTAAATATTTTGACAAATGTAAAAGTTACAAAATAAAAAGTTACAGCATCTCCTGAATGAGAACGTCTGGATGTATGAACTGCTGAAGTGACGAAGTCTGAAGAAGTCTGTTAAAACACCTGTTTGTTTGTTTGTTTGTTGTGTTTTGCTCTGCAGCAGTCTGATCCTGACACGTTTTACTCAGAAACGGCAGAAAATTTTCAGTTAAACTTCATCTGGAACTCTCGTGTTGTTGAACAGGTGAAGGGGCAGTCGTTGGTGGCGGCTTCAGGCGGAGCGGCTCAGACGCCTGTTTCTGGTCCAGTGACTCGGGATAAAAGTGGAGCAGTGACCATAACGGTGCACGCCAAGCCCGGCTCCAAGCTCAGCAGCATCACAGGTCGTCTTCACACCCTGTGGACACCAGCCCTGTTGGACAGACCCTCACACTCTGTTCTGCTGCTCCTGCAGGTGTCTCTGCAGAGACGGTGGACGTGTCCATCGCAGCGCCACCTGCGGACGGAGAGGCAAACGCTGAGCTCATCCGGTACCTGGCAGAAGTTCTGGACCTGAAGAAAAGCCACGTCTCACTTGATAAGGTTCCTGAATGTTTCTTAAAGCAGAGATGAGTTTGGAGTAGATGGAACTGTGCAAAAGTTCTGAGCAGACCACTTTAATGGTTACAGGAAGGTCTGACTGGATGGGCCGGATCAGAACTATTTGGTCCAAATAACTCAGTAACTGTTCGTGTGCCTTCTGTTTGTGTAAGATAAATTTCTTCCATTCGGATCAGTAACATCTTTTTGTTTTGTCCTCTCCTTTAGGGCTCCAGATCCAGAGACAAACTTATCAGAGTGGACTCGTCTCTGAGTCCAGAGGAGGTTCTGAGGAGGCTCCGACAGGCTGCGGGCTGACCAAGGAGTACGCTGGGCATTAGAGGATGACTCCAGGTTCTTGTTAAACTCCGATAACTTTACAGCCGTCCCGGTCTTATAAACAAACACACACAGAACTGGACCGGAACCGAACGCGTGGGAACAGAAACTCGTAAAAACAGAAGATCAGGCCTGTTCAACAAGTGGCCCCATGGCCTTTTTTAAAATTAAATTTCTTTAGCCTGTGCAAATCTTACACATCAGAGCTACAGCCGCACCTTGAGTGTCGTATTGAGCTCGGAGAAGTCTAATGAACAGGCAAACTTTGGTAACCGTGACAACAGAGAGGGTTGGGGTAGGTAAACGTGTAAAAGTGCACCTGTCCGTGTTACCTGTGCAAAAAGCTGCAGCATGGATAGACATTACATCAGCTGAGCTCACGACAGACACAAAGACGTCTCTTTTTAAAATCAAAAAGATGGAAAATAGATTTATAAATGAGACAAAACAACTGGATTGAAAAGTTATTTTTTGCTCATTTTCAAACGTCATCTGGTGCTGAACGAACAAATTGCTTTGAAAATTATTAAAAATAATATATATATATTAAAAATATAAATTGTTCAAAGAAACTAAGTGAGTTGCGTCGTGCCAGCTGTTCTGCAAGTTCTCCAGAAGAATTTGAAGAACCTGAGGTAAAGTCCAGGAGCTGGACATGAACCAAACAAAACCAACTTTTATCTGAGCTTGAAACAGAGAAAGTCCTCGAGGGCCTGAACGTCAGGACCTCCCCATACTGACTGTGATGGTGGGACGCCCTGTAGATGGTGGGACATTTAAAGTCTTAGATGGACTAATGACGCCGAGGCTTCGGAGCTCGTGTGCTGCTCTTCCTGAAGCGGAGGGACTCAAGCCACTGTGTCAGAGCGTTGAATGCCATCATCAGCTCTTCACTGATTCAAAATGTTCTGAAGCGTTTCATGAATGATTTTGTGTAAATGAACCTGAACCAACAGTTCACTCTGCTGCAGCTCGTTTTGTTCTCACAGTACTGTGTGTGAGTCTATTAGGATTTCTTTTAAACAAATTTCACTCTTCTTAACACATAACTTGGTTTTACTTCCAATGCAGCATCTAGTCTAGCAGTCATTGTGTAACTCATTTTAATATGAAATGATGACGTATAATAAACCAAAATATCAGCAGATTAAAATTACCAGTGTTTTTTCTGACCTTTTTTTGCTGACCCGGGGTGGAAACTGTGTCAGTGCTTCAGTCGACCACCAGGTGTCGCTGTCGCTTATGGGTAACTTGTATGGCATTTAAAAAAAATAGACCTCAGCCTATCCATCCATCCTCACTGAAATTTATTACTTGATGCAAGGCAGCCAGTCTGAGGCCCCGTTTGCACGAAGTGAAACGTTCGGCCGTTCATTTACACGACAACCGCCCTCGTTCTCTGAAACGGAAGGTTTCTGAATCCAGGTCTCAGGGTGGAGATTTTGGGGGAACCCCCCACAGAGGTGTGAAATGCTCCACAAAAAATGTGAAGGCACATGCACACTACAGGCGGCTGCAGTCCAGAAGTTTTTCTGCTCTAACAACAGTTATCAATCAACCTTTATTTAATCAATCAACCTTTATTTATACAGGTAAATCCCATTGAGCCTCGAGGACTCATTTACAAGAGAGACCTGAAGTTATAATAAATGGCAGAGAGCAGAGTGTTTTTGTGCTGCTCACCCTTTTTCAGCATGTAGGAGCAAAACTAATAAAAGCCAGTTCCAAAGGGACGTTAGTGTGTTCACCAGTTTGGACATAACTAACATACAGACACTGCATGAGCTGAGCCCTGCATCAGGGTTGCCAGATAAATTTAAAATGTCTTATTTGCCCCACCTTTTCTGTGCACATGTTCACCAAACACAAAACACACCTGAGAATATCTTTATTCAACATATCCTGATGCATGCTCAATTTGGGTTTATTCAACATACGACAGTTTAGATCAAAATACTATCATTTTAAAGCCATAGTACTATAAGTTCATAATTTCTTATCTGGCAACCCAACTGACACGGAAACTTCAGCGTTTTTTTGTGTAAGCTAGCTCATTTTTTGTTTATTACCGCCAATAAACATTGACTAAACACTAACGTTTCCAGAGGTAGATCACTTTGACTTGGTCATTTGAAAAGTAGCTTGCATGCTGAAAAAGTGTGAGCACCCCCGACTTAAGAGCTGCCATCCGAGAGGCTCCACCTGCTCGTCACTGCTGTTGAGGAACATTATTCTGAAATTTCCCCAATATTTAAAGTTTAAAATTTAAAGCCATGCATAAACTACTGAATACTAGATCTGATTTGTTCATTAATAACCTTAATAGACAGAGGGACAAATGAATGAGTGTTTTTATATCCGTTAACCTGGTTAGTTAATGATGTTTCTCATGTATACCTCTTCCTGTTGCTCCTGGAATAACTTATTTTAAATGTGTCGCTGCCATCAAATTCAATTTTTTTTAAATTATTTTGTAGTTTAGAACAGTGGTTCCTAACCCTGGTCCCTGAGGAACACCATCTTGCATGTTTCAGTTGTTTCCTGCTCCAACATGCCTGATTCAGAGATTTAATTACGTCCTCATGTTCTGCAGAATCGCCCGTTCATTCAAATCAGGGAAACAAGTAAAACATGCAGGACGGTGTTCCTCAAGGACCAGGGTTGGGAACCACTGGTTTAGAACATTTGAAATAATTATGTTGCTGGACCTGGTACCTCCATGACCCGAGCTCTGATGGATGGATTTGCTGTCAAACTTAAATTCAATCAGTTTTGATCCTCTCAAACTGAACTGGACTCTTGATGTTGGACCGACTCTTCAGTTACTTTCCTTTAATCACATTTATAACTAAAGGCACGAGACAAACCGTGACTATATCGTCTGATTTGTAATAAAAGTCCAACAAAATAAAAGAATAACCAGATTTTATTTAGTTTTGTGTCTGTTGTCTGACAGAACTGACCCTGGATCAGATTCTGGCCACAGAGACGCTCAGAACCCCATCAGGGAGCAGAGGAGGATTTAAACTTCCGAGTTCGTTACATTTCAGAGGGAAAGTGTTGGATCAACACGTTGAGGCTTAACGAGCTGTGAAAGCAGCTCCATCAGGCTGAGAGCAGACGTCAAGCTGCTGATCCAGGATCAGTCTGATTTAGTCTCTTATGTAACCTCCCTGCAGCTCGTCACAAACTTTGTTAACAGTAAAACTGAAGTTGTCACGGGAGCGATGGGGTTTGACGTCTCTTCACTCTTTCATGTGCGCTTTGATCCTGCAGCTCAGCTCCGCGGCTCTTTGAAGCTTTTTGGTTTAACGGGAAGAATCGAGGCTCATTAAGAGTTTCCTGATTCTGAGGACGAGGAGGGATGTTAATCTGCTTCTGCAGGAATAACTCGGTGTGTGTGGGGGTGTGTCTGTGTCCCCCCCCCCCACACACACACACACACACACTTTCCTCATGCTCACGTGTTGTCTCAACGTTATTGTTTTGTAGTTTTTTTGACGAGGATGGATAAGATTAGGAATGAAATCATCAAGAGGTACAGCACAGGTTGAACAACTGGGAGATAAAGTTAGAGAGACCAGACTGGGATGGTTTGGACATGTCCAGAGGGACAGTGGGTATACTGGTAGAAGGATGTTAGAAATGCAGCTGCAAAGAGGAGATATATGGATGCAGTTAGCAGACATGGAGGTAGTTGGTAGAGGTGTAACAGTACATGGATTTATATTGATATATTGATTAAATGATTAAATTATATCGTGGCAAAAGTAAAACATTGATTCATATCATCATCTTTAAAATATGCTTTTATTTTGAAATACCCAAGGCACGTCTGTGTCACCATTTCCGTGCGCGGCTGCGCTCTGCGGCCACCTCAGCAACATGGCAGATGAGGCAGAAAACGCGGATAATGAAATTCACTCCTGCTGGATTTAAATCAACTCTGTGGAAACATTTTGGAGTCCAACAGAAAGACGGCTCAACGGACAAAACTCACGACGTATGCAACAGCAGGTGCCAGCGTGAGTTAAAATACTCGGTAAACAACAAATTTGGTTGTTCACCTGAAGAAGAAACAGGGTATTGATAGTCATGTTGTGTCAGCTCAATATTTGTTTCTGTTTCTTTATAACTGAAAGGTAATCAGGACACTTTTAAGTTAACTGGTTTAAAAAATGCACTTAAACACGAGCAATGTGAGACTATACTGAACAGGCCATTTATTTTTATTTTTTCATTAATTAATAAAATATATATTTTTTATTTAAATGCCTGGTGCCTGTAATAACAGAAATAAAATGGTTAAATCATATTTGAATTGTTTTTTTAATTTATATGTAAATGAGATGGGCATTTGTTATCGCAATATATCGATCGCAGACTTGTGAGTCGAATAGAATCGAAATCGTATCGTGACAGACTTTGTGATATCGAGAAAAATCGTATCGTCTTACAAACAAATCAATATAATATCGTATCGTAGAGCTGGTGATTTACACCTGTAGTAGTTGGAGTGAGGACAGGATGAGAGATGTGGGAGGACCCACTGTTGAGATCCATGAAGAGGGAACAGCCGAAAGATGATTTTTTATTTTAGGTTTTCCTGAGCATGTTTTAGCATCTAAATACTTTGGCTCCTTTCAGCTTAAAAAAAACAAACAAAACCTTCAGCTCGATGTGGGTGCTGTCACTTTTGTCCAGTTTATGTCTTAAAATATTGACCTTTGTGCCACTTTTTAGTTTATTTTAGCTGTTTTACTGATTTAGCAAAATTACTGATTCAGCTATTTGTAGCATTTAGCTACATTATTTCTAACTTTAGCTTTTAGCTTGTGTTTTGCTAACTTCAGCCTGACATTAGGGTTCCCAGTCTTTAATCGTTTCTCCTCATGAAATTATTTCAGCCTAAAACTGACATGAAGAGGCGGGCGACATGCATTCCTTCATTTGTTATTTTTATTATTTTATTGATTTTATGTTTTTGTATATTTGAAGATTCTAATGATTTTTGGAACCAGACTGTAAATAAGAGTTTCCTTTTTGTCCTGCTCTTCAGAGTTCTGACGTCCTGTTTGGACCGGTTGAAACTCAGAACCTCTCCTTCTCGAAGCAGCAATCAAAAGATCAAACGAGGTTCTTATCGTTACGCGCCGAGACGGTGGAGCGGACCTGAGCTGATAGCAGCCGAATGTTTCTGAAGAGATCAGAGAGAAACTGAGATGATGGAGATGCTGAGCTCTCAAGGATTGCAGTGATTATTCTGCTCGGCCCGGTCTCATTCTGAGGTGAACTCTTCCAGAACCAGAAGGATCCGATTGGTTTCTGTTTGTCCTCCTTTAAAAAAAACCAAAAACGTTCCATTTAAGCAGCTCTACACGTCTCCATCTAACCAGGCGTGTTTCCAGCAGCTCCTCTAGGATCCTGATTCTGGTCTAAGGTCTCAGGTTCTTGATGTTTTGGATCTCCTGCAGAGCAGAACCTAAAACTGCCCGGTAAGATCCAAGCGATGCGTATGAACCACCTGAGCTTGTCTGAAACGTTTCTTTTAATCAGAAGCTCCTGAATCAGGAGGTCTGTGATGGACTGGAACAAGAACCTGGTTCGGGTCGGTCCAAACCAGTTTCTGAGCAGCTCGGTTCAGGGCGTTCTTAGTGTGTGGTGTTCTGATGGTTCTTGGTTCTGTCTGCAGAAAAAGAACCTCACCGTGAAACTTTAAACGGAGTCTCCAGGATCCTGGTGGCTGAGGAGGAAGAGGACGTTTCTGTATCTTCATCCTGACTTTGAGGCCCATGGTCCTGGTGACGTTCACGCCGGCCCGAGCAGATCTGTCTCACCTGCATTAGCAGAACCTTCTCGTTCTGTCAGTAAATGCAGGCTCACAGCAGGATCTGTCTCTGTCGGGTCGTACGGGTCTTCAGGAACAAGAAGAGCCGAAGTTTAATTGTTGGTAAACTTCGGCTCTTCTTCGTGTTCCTGAAGGAGACTTCTCAAACCAGCTGTGGAAGTTTACATCACTGCAGGACTCACACTGGCCATGGAGAGTTACAGTTTACGACACGTACCTGAACACATCATGATAGTTTAGACTTCCTTGAAGGCATCGTGATGTTAGCGTGTAATTTATTATGTTTGAGGGTTTTGATTGGCGTGCTGAAGTGATGTCATCAGCTGACTGACAGGTCTGTTTACGACAGGAGGAGCGAGGATTTTCAGCCGCAGCTCCTCCGAGTGTCGGGGGGTTTAAGCTGCGATCAGCTGACAGTAATACCTTCATCTTTACCCTCGAATGTGAATCATAAACGCAGCTCTGCAGGCGAGTTCTCCTGGACGTCATTAAAGTTAAAACAGTTCTGAAACTGTTCAGAACCAAATCACAGAACCAGTTTATTTATTAATATACCAGTAGCTCCACGTCACGAGAGTCTGAATGTTTTTATCACATTTCTTCATCTTCAGCAGCCAGGAACAAATTCAGCTACAAATCTTGAGTTAAATCTCTGAACAATAATCCTTACAATATAAAAAGTAGAACCTCCTCCAGAACCAGAACCCTCAGCGGTTCTCTGTAGGATTTCATCAGTTGCTCTCCTGGTTCTGGCTCACTCTTCTCTCCATCTGGGAGGAATCTGCTCAGCTCTCTGAAGGTCCACCACAGCATTTCAGTCAGGTTCAGGATCTGGCCTCTGACTGACTGGACCTTAGTTCTGTTATTTTAGACCCGTTCTGTTGTAGATCAGCTGCTGTGTTTGGGATCATGGTTCTGTTGGACCCAGTTTGGTCCAATCTTCAGCTGTTGGGACAGCTGGACTCACATCTGACTCCAGAACCCTTTGGTCTGCAGCGGAGTTCTGGTCCACTCAGTGACTGACTGGAGCCCAAACCGTCAGCCCTCCACCTTCATGCTGACAGCTGGCAGAAGCTGCTTGCTGCAGTGCATTCTGGGTAAACATATGTACTTTGGTCTGGTTCTTCAGATGAAACTTTCCAAATCTATGTGGTGCTTCCATGTTTGTTTTTAGAGAGGCCATAACTTTTGGCTGAGGCCTGTAGAGTCGCTGCATGGTCTGACCTTCAGGGTGAATCAGCTGTTAAATGGACTGTACTTATATAGCACCTTTCTATCTTATCAAGATACTCAAAACCCTTTACAACACAATCTGTGCCTCATTTACCCATTCACAAAGCACTCTACTAGATCTGTACAAAGAATAATCAGTGCTTTAGATCACATTCATACACAGATGGGACACATCGGAGGAAATGAGGGATTCAGTGTCTTGCCCAGGGACACTTCGGCATGTGAAACCTCAGCTGGTGGAATCGAACCCACAACTCTTCCTTTGGAGGACGAATGCTCTAACTACTCAGCCACTGCTGCCCCTAAAAACCGCCGACACGACTCGATCCATGAAGCTTAATCCACGACACATTTTTTGTAGTACTTATTAATAATGGGGCGGTCGTGGAACGGATACGAACTCGCAGCTCATGGGTGCAAATCTTCCGCTGAGCTATCCTGTCCGATGTTTAAATGTGTCAGAATCTTTCTCTAAATGACCTTTGACCCTTCCCAGATTGATGGACAGCAGCAGCTGCTTCTTTGAGGTCATTGCTGAAGTCTTTCTTCCTTGTTGTTGTAGCACACACCTGCAGGGTCCAGATCAGCAGAACCCCCTGATGAGGATCAGTTCATCAGCAGCTCCTGGACCTCTGAGGTCCAGTGGAAGCAGCAGGACTGGAATCAGATGTTTATCTTTAAACTTTTTGTTTAATAAATCATGTTAACCGTAAATCGTGATGGGATTATTTTTCAAGGTTCCTTGTCATTTTATGTTCTGATATGCGAATCCTCAGAACTGGAAGTGGTCGGACTTATTTCCATCATGGCTGTAAATTAAGTTTTTATAATTATCAGAATGAAACTCCAGAAATATTTTGAATCAGAACCAACACACTCACAATTTACTTTCATTTTAAACATGTTATTGTTTTCATACTGAAACTAATCAGGACTTTATTCATAAAAACTAATTTCTGACCTCTAACATTTAACCAGAGATCATTATGATCTGCTGTGACGTCACTCGGGAGCTGGGGGGGCGGGGTGGAGTCCAAAGATGCCGCGCGCTCAGAACACCTCGCGTCAGTCAGCGCGTGAGACCCAGCTGGAGGCAGCTCGGACCCGAACCAGAACCTCGACTCTCCCCAGTTTGTCCGTGTCGGCATGTGGGCGCGAGCCGTGCTGTGCGCGGCGCTGCTGTCCGCGTTGTGTCCAGAGGGAACTACGGAAGCTGAGAGGGACGAGAGGGACATTCAAGAGTACCAGAACTCCAACAGACTGGTGGGACCGGAAGTTAAAATATAGATCAAATTATTTCTCACCGGAGAGAAAATCTGATTTGAATTCTTTTAGAATATAATTCATCTATAGATCAATAATTTTTGAATGGTTTTATTTTTGTTTGCTTTACAAAAAAATGTAATATTTAAGATTTTATTTTTTTTAAAATTACTTAAAATTACCCAAGTAATGTTCAAAAATCATAATTTAATATTTAAGACAATAAGTTTATATGACGTAGTGGGAAATTAAAAACTTAAAAATTCTGTACAAAAAAACCCCCATTAAAAATAAAATGGACTGTAACAGAAAAAGTTTTGTTTGTGAAGCAAATTTTGATTAATTTAGTTTATATTTGATTTAATCAGAAGTGGATTTGTCTAATTTTAAATGCATAAAATAATTATGTGTGTACAATATATAAATAAATGTCCTCGTCTGAAGTGTTCTGTCCTCCGCAGCTCGGAGCGCTGCACGAGGTTCTGGAGCGGCTGCAGACGAAGAGGATCAACCCCTGGGAGAAGAAGTACGGTCAGGTTCCCTCTGTGAGTCGAACACACACAGAACCGGGACGGACGCGATCAGATCAATTTTTAAATCCAGTTCAGATGGTACTGAACATGTGGACCAGACCCCAGATGTCCCTGAAGATTTTAGTTGTTCCTGCATGTAAACAAACACTTCAGCTGTTCCTGCATGTAAACACTTCAGCTGTTCCTGCATGTAAACACTTTAGCTGTTCCTGCATGTAAACAAACACTTCAGCTGTTCCTGCATGTAAACAAACACATTAGCTGTTCCTGCATGTAAACAAACACATTAGCTGTTCCTGCATGTAAACAAACACTTTAGCTGATCCTGCATGT